AAAAGACAAAAATAACCTTAAATTGTTTATAAAATTACAATAGCATAATTTTGTTTTAAAAAACAAATATACTCTTAAGTTACAAATTAAAAAATCAAACACTTATCATTTTTTAATATTTAACTACTTTATTTAATTATTTTTTTAAAACACTTACTTCAATAAAAAAAATTAATATTTACTTTAATTACTTCTTAAAATATTCACAAAACTTCAATAAAAAAATTAATATATAAAATATTCAGAAAAATAAATAAAAATGAAATCGAAAAAGTCTTCCGGGTCCGGATTTGGACTCGTGTTGTGGTCCGGGTTTGGGTCCGAGCGGGCCGGCCCGAAATTTTTTTTTCTTTTTAAGAGAACAAAATTTGAATCTTATAATTTTTTTAAAAAAATTCTAATCTAATTCGTTTCCCATAATTTATTTTTCCTTTTTTTCTTCTTTTAATTTTTTTGCTCATTCATGTATGTATTTTTTTCTTGAATTTAATTCAATTTATGTATTATTTTATTTTTATTTACTCTTTTTAATGTGCGAGAAAATGATTTTATTTCTTACGTACTAATGAATGTAATTTGATTTTTAAAATTTTAAAATATAATAAATGTTGATAATTTCTTATAAATGTTTTTAACGTGTATTATTTTTTCAGAATGGAGTACCACCTAGACAATATCATGAAAGCTCATTTTGGGAAAAGTTACGTTGTATCGGTATTGGAAGAATTCGATGAGGAACATATAGTCATACTCCGTCGATCATTCCTATGGTTCTTCTGTCCGTTGAAGGACATGCAATTTTTTGCCCAAATTATTGATTCCTTATTATTTTGGTTTCGAAAGCCAGTCGATCGACCTTTAAATACAACTGTGACTAAATAATTAATTAAACAAACAAAATAATCAATGAAATATTTAAAGAAGAAATTAAATTAAATATTAATTTTTGATTTCAGTAAGTTTTTAAAATAAATAATTAAATAAAATAATTATGATCATATTTGATTACAATCCTATGAGCAAATTAGAAGATTGTACTCAATCCAGTATGTGAACTCCCATCAGACTCGTGTCTCTATCTGATTACGATCCTGTGAACAAATTTTATGTGTAATAGTGAGATCACGGTGAGTAACAATTATCTCGAGAATAATGTTTAGATGTGAAAGATTGATAGGGTTTGGGCTTACTGGGAATTAGAACTTGTATATTTTCTAACTATTTTATGAAAGTAAAAGGTAGTATTACTAGTTATGTAATTTTAACATTTCCACCCAATTAATACGTTCTGTCTTTCGTTCTTTCCAAACCACAAATAAGTTCATTAATTATTTAGGCATACAAGCAGTCATTTTTTCTATCCAAACCGCAACTCATAAATAAATAATAAGTTTAAAAACAACAAATAAAAAAAAGAACAACGAAAACATTAATTTTATTAACAAGTTCACAACACATGTCATCACCCGATATCTAAACTAAACTAAAATTATTCCAAAATTATATGAAATGAAAAAAACATATATTTTCAACAATCCAAATCATAATTCAACAAACTATATCAACAAATCACGTCTAAAGTTTCAGAACCCTCAACATAAACTTTCATTTCCCTAACATTTGACGCTTGTCTGCCCTTCTGAATGAATCGTCAGTCACCTTTGCGTGTTAGTATGCTAATTTATACCTGAATTGCCTCTTTCTCTCTTTTCTTTCAGCAAGTCTCAAACTCCCATTCAAGTCATTTTTTCGTTGTTCTTTCTTTTATTTGTTGTTTTTAAACTTAATATACACTTATAAGTTATGGTTTGGATAGAAAAATAATTGCTTGTATACCTAAATGATTAATGAACTTGTTTGTAGTTTGAAAAGAACGAAAAACAAAGCATGTTAAAATGTTAAAAGTTCCATAACTAGTACTACTATCTTCTACTTTCATAAAATATTTAGAGAATGAAATTCATTAGTTCCCAATAAGCCGAAACTCTATCAATTTTTTTACATTTAAACATTATTCTCGAGATAGTTGCTATTCACCATGGTTTCATTGTTACACACAGGATTTGTTCACAGTATCGTAATCAGATTGAGACATGAATCTGGTGGAAGTTCACAGGCTGGATCGAGTACACGATCTTTTAATTTGTTCATATAATTGTAATCAAATAGTATAATAATTATTTTATTTAATTATATATTTTAAAGACTTACTGAAATAAAAAATTAATATTTATTTTAATTTTTTGTTTAAATAGTTCATGAATTAATTATTTTAATTGGTTATGTATATTGTTTAGGAAAGTTGTAGAAGCTTACAGCTTTGAAGATTTGATAAGTTCATGAGCGAAATAGAACATAAATCACACTGGTACATGAGAATATCTAACAAATATAGAAGTCGAACATTAAGCATGGTAACATTTTCCAAAATATTGATACAACATGATGACGTTGAATAATGTGGAGTCACTCAATACATTATTTAATAATGCTGAAACTATATTTCCTTTACCAAATGAAGTCGAGTGAATAGTTCCCGATTACATTGTGATTGTAATACTTAATAATTTGTTGCCATTCGAAGTTCAACCGCGTACTCCTGGATATAGACATAAGTTTAGAAAATCATCTACCGAAAAGTTTCCACGATCGAGTAGGTACTTAAATGAAAATTGACTCGACAGATTTGTAATATCTATCTAAACGTATGGTTTTTATTTCCAAAGACCGCACAAATCGAACCTAACGACTTTTAAATTTTGT